TGAACGTCATCTAAGTCACAACCATAGAAGAACACAGTCTGCTGAACATAATACTACACAAACATTAGATGTTGCCATAGTTTAATTGCACATAATATGTAAACATTCACAGTGCAGGGAGGAAAAAGTATGTGAACCTTTGGACTTAATAACAGTTTGACCCTCCTTTGGCAGCAATAACCTCAACCAAACGTTTCCTGTAGTTGCAGATCAGACCTGCACAACGATCTGGAGTAATTTTGGACCACTCCTCTTCACAAAACTGTTTCAGTGTGGCAATATTCTTGGGATGTCTGGTGTGAATCGCTCTCTTAAGGTCATGCCACAGCATTTCAATCGGGTTGAGGTCAGGACTCTGACTGGGCCACTCCAGAAGCGTATTCTGTGCTGTTGCAGCCATTGTTTTGTTGAATTACTTGTATGCTTTGGGTCATTGTCCTGTTGCATCACCCATCCTCTGCGGAGCTTCAGTTGGCGGACAGATGGTCGTACGTTTTCCTGCAAAATGTCTTGATAAACTCTGGAATTCATTTTCCCATCAATGACAACAATCCGTCCAGGCCCTGAGGCAGCAAAGCAGCCCCAAACCATGATGCTCCCTCCGCCATGTTTTACAGCGGGGATGAGGTTTTGATGTTGGTGTGCTGTGCCTTTTTTTCTCCACACATAGTGTTGTGTGTTTTTCCCAAACAACTCAATCTTGGTTTCATCTGTCCACAGTTTATTTTGCCAGTAGTGCTGTGGAACATCCAGGTGCTCTTTTGCAAACTTCAAACGTGCTGCAATATTCTTTTTGGACAGCAATGGCTTCCTCCGTGGTGTCCTCCCATGTACTCCATTCTTGTTTAATGTTTTCCTTATTGTAGATGTGTCAACAAAAATGTTAGCATGTGCCAGAGATTTCTGTAGGTCTTTAGCTGACACTCTGGGATTCTTCTTTACCTCATGCAGCATTCTGCGCTGTGCTCTTGCAGTCATTTTTAACAGGACGACCACACCTAGGGAGAGTAGCAACAGTGCTAAACTTTCTCCATTTGTAGGGACAGTCTGTCTTACTGTGGACACATGAACATCAAGGCTTTTGGAGATACTTTTGTAACCCTTTCCAGCTTCATGCAAGTCAACAATTATTGATCGTAGGTCTTCTGAGAGCTCTTTTCTGCGAGGCATGGCTCACATCAGACAGTACTTCTTGAAACCAGTAAACCCAAAGCAGGTGTGTGTTTATTAAGGGCAGGACAGCTGTCAGCAACACATCCAATATCATCACACTGATTGGAGTCAAGGTTGGCTCACTCCTGGCTCTAAATAGCTCTGGGAGAAGTCATTAAGCTAGGGGTTCACATACTTTTTCCTCCCTGCACTGTGAATGTTTACATGTTATGTGCAATTAAACCATGGCAACATCTAATGTTTGTGTAGTATTATGCTCAGCAGACTGTGTTCTTCTATTGTTGTGACTTAGATGACGTTCAGAGCACATTTTATGCCCAATTCATGCAAAACTCCACGTAATCCCAAGGGGTTCACATACTTTTTCTTGCAACTGTATATATACATGTTGTTGATCAATTCCCCCCCTAATTGCCACTTTTCACCCCAATCCCTCCTTCCACAGAGGATTGCCCACTACTGCATTAGTGCATTAGGGTGTCATTCACAATGAATGGTGCCTCAATACACCACACCATGGTACACACATATCATGTCTCACAGCAATTTGCAGTAAAATGTATGTTTTACCATGCGCTACTGCATCTTCAATTTGTTTTTTATGCACTGCCATTGAAGTCTATGGGGCCACATAACACCTGTTGGTGCATAAAAAAAGTACCTGTAGTATTTGTTCTGATGCATGGCAGTGTAGAACACAGGTGTGAATGGGCTACATAGCAAACAATTGCAATCTTCTTGTTATGCATTAACATGTTTAATAGCACAAGTGTAAACAAAGTACTTGTCCTTCTACAAGTATCCTGCAATGCCTGTCTTTGTTATCTTGAGGAGCAAAACTTGCTGAAAAATCTTTGCCATCCATCGTACTTTCTGGTGTGTTGGATGCGTGGTTCCCCATGGTGCACTGTGGGTCCCACCACTGGCCCCCTCATCAGTGTAGTGACATAGGAGCTCGGGAAAGAAACCACAGAGCACAGGGAGGGATTATCATGATGAAGATTTTTCCTAAAGCTTTACTCTTCAAAGAGAATAAATATATTAGAGATGTGATAGTAGGACAGGTAGACTTTAAACTTTTTCTTCACAGGAATATTTATTTTAGTTTTTTCACCATCTCCTCACTGTTGATCTAACAGAGTAGGGCTTTGGGGTATAGTGAAGCATGTGGCCTCCATCTTGTGGCACTGCTCAAGCCTGAGCAAACAATTTCTAGGTTCAAACAATGTCACATAGGGAGAGGTGGGCAGTGATGCCTTTCACCTGCAGGCCTGGATCTAGGGGTGTGCTGGGGTGGGCTATGCCTCCCAGATTTTAGCTGTGTGAGTGCATCCACAAATCCATGAGACTTGATGAGGACAGTTGATGTAAGGGGGCACTCTGATGAAGACTGTTGATTTAAGGGGGCATAATGATGGGAACAGTTGATGTAAAAAGGGCACTCTGAAGGGGGCAATCGATGTAAGGGGGCACTCTGATGAGGCAATTGATATAAGAGGGCACTCTGATAGGCAATTGATGAAAGGGGGCACATTGATATTGACTTTTTTTGTAAGGGGCACTCTGGTGAGGACACCCGATGTGAGGGGGGGGACTCTTATAGGAGCCCTGATGTAAGGTAGAACTCTAAGGAGTTGACTCTGTTAGGGATATCTGATATAACAGGGCATAGGTTGTGTTTAATCATCCTGATTTAATGACAGCCTGGTATATACTAGAGTTCCCTATTCACTCCTGCACTGCCTCTGCACTACCTGTCAAATGCTACTTCTGAATTATGACTCAGTGGTACAGACACATGCTGAATAAACAGGAAATACTGGTTCCATGCATCTCTGTCACACTATTGACAATATACCCCTTGACTTTTTATTACTGCACTCCCAGATCAAATAGGCCAGATCCAGTCCTGTTCACCTGGGTAAGCTTCTACACCATCCACCACTGGAGCTTTTTAAGGGTGGACTATTGCAATGGGGAGGTGGCGAGGTAGCATGGATAATGCGTATATACTTCTAGGGGGAGGTGGGGGGAGGGAAAGACTTTACCAGGATGTTCTGAGGTGCTGAATGACTTGACTTGGATTGAGCCGGGCATTCTTGACACTTCCATAGGATAGTGATGTGGACAAGGATATGGAAAGCTACAATACACTAAAACATTCAAGAGTAGAGGAATCTATTACAGAGTATAACTATCCTCCTTCTGCATTGAACCTAGTTTCCAATGATCATGCACATATGTTTTATATGCTATGTCTTTTCATAGGTTTACTATTTAATGCTGTGTAGCTGAGAGAGACACTTTTATACTTGAATATGAACACCAGCTTACATCGCCAAATTGTTTTCATGCTTGTCTAACTGTTGTGAAGAGCGCTCATTCTGTGTCTTCCCATGGTTGTTGAATCGCTGGCTCTTCTAGTTAGCATAGAACCACTCATGGTCTGCAGTGATTGAAAGCTCTCAACCATATCATAACATCCTCAAGACACCTGTATTGCCTGTCAGTTATCCTCCCTTGACTTCCCATGTCTGCCTTCCTAGAAAGCAGTCTTCATTCATAGACATGTTCTGTGATATCAGGCATATTGCTGTATCTAATGTTTGTCATTTATCATGTTAATGTCTCCTTATTTGCACTTCACTGGCAAAAAGATCCGCTGATATGTGGAATTCCCCTAGCGGGAACATCAGAATATAAAAAAGCAAAGTGAGCACATCTCAATGATTGAGCAATAGTTTAATGCTTTGCAACGGTTTTTCCATGATGGTATATCCCAGTTAGAACACAAATGTAATGCCTTATTGTTTATAAGCAACACAGTTTACATACCCAGATATTTTGGTTATTTTATCCAGACAAAACTATAGTACACAGTGGGGTTGATTTACTAAAACTGGAGAGTACAAAATCTGGTGCAGCTGTCCATGGTAACCAATCAACTTCTAAATTCAGCTTGTTCAATTAAGTGTTAACAAAATATCTGGAGGCTTGTGGGTGGAGCCTTCTTGCTCTGCAGAATGGGATACCTAGTCTATTACTAATGCCTGGAACCAGACAGGGTCATAGTCATGTGGATTCAAAATTAAGGCCAAACATGCAACCTCCTCCTGTGAAACACTCCATCCCATAGAGTCTTCTAGAATGTAGCATATAGAATGGGACACCGCTGAGCCTGTGTCTTACTCCACCAGTCTAATATTCCTCTGCCACCTCACTCCCAGTGACAGAATGGGGTCTTGACATACACTAAGCGAAGACCTCATGCGTGCACTTAACCTCCCTAGCGGTCTGATTATGTCCATATTTCTGTGCTCAAAGCGGGTACTTTTTTTGCATGGAAATATGTATTTTTTTATTGTAGTAAACATCCCGAGTATGTTAAAATTTGAAACATGAAATCATAAATAAATTATAATTTAATAAATAATCATAAAAAATAATATAATAAAATTTAATTCAATAATATAATCAAACCAAAAACACTGACATTTGAAATATAGCGCCAAGCTCGCACATCACTGAGCAAAGTCGCAAAATCCTTTTCAGTGTCTGATGACGAATCTCCCACGAATCATTATCACTCAATTCTGCAAGTAGTTCTAATTTACTATCGCTCTTCTCTAGCTGGTCTAAAACCGATTTTGACCCAAAGGGATGCTTTTTGGACGCCATGGACATTTCTCAGTTTCCAGGCAGAAAGAACAGTATAAATGTAGGTAGGCAGGACATAGGACAAAATGTATGTGAAATGGTTTGGTACAGTAATGTTTTACTATGTGATTTTAGTGAATTTAGTGAATGTCACTTTTTGTCATTTTCACATTTCCCGCCGTTCCGTCCCCGTACGTCCCGATGTCACAGGGAACGGAACCCAGAAGACAGATGCCGGCATCGGACAGAGGACATTACAGGGGACACTGCAGGAGGGACATCGCGGGAGCGCAGGACAAGGTAAGAGAAGAACAGATCCCAGAGCAGCACCGCATGGTAAGCCCGAGTGTAGCTCGGGGTTACCACTTGTGGTACTGAAACTTTACCCCGAGCTACACTCGAGAATACCGTCAGGGAGGTTAATCAACTTCTTTCTCTCCTGTACCTGTGGCTAAGTCCATGGGGTCTCTGTACCGTGGGTGCAGTCCTGATTGTTTTTGGGGCACCGACCACTAAGGAGGGAGCCAGAGCATTGACCCTCTCCTTACTGGACGACCCCTCACCCATACCTGGTACCACTCTCCGCTGTCTGGCTGCCATTACATTTCCACCAGTTCATGGTTACCAGTTGCAACTACATACTTCCTGCCAACTTCTCTGTTGAGTGCTGAGTTAACCCTTCATGATGGCCTTCCATTCCTTCCTCTTCCCCTTCTTACAGGCCCTGTTCTTCTAGATATGCCATGTACCAACATGCACCCCTTTGCAGTAACTTCAGACCAGGCTCTTTAGCAGTTAACGAAACATTACTGCACACACTCAGCAACACAGTCCAACAGTGCAATAACAGTTCTTCCTTAGCTATCTAGATCCAGGTTGCCTGATGTATACCTTCCCCAAAGGTAAGAGTCCAAATTGTGGAAGAGTCCTGGTTCAGGCAAACTTCCCTAAAAGGCACTCCGTATGTTGCTGGTGGTTACATCTTCAGGCTTTGACTCATTTCCATGCAGGCCCCTGAGCAAAACCCTCCCTCTTTTTATAGAAACACAGGGTCAAGGGCAGAGCCCAGAAATGCCCTGAAAAATGTTAAGACTGGCTAAACCCCTTCCCACGTGGGCAGCCTTCAAAACATGTCTATCTCCACCCCAACACTTGTAAGCACATGCTTACAAGTTGATTGGTTTCTGTGCAACACTGCACCAGATTTTGCACTCTCCTGTTTTTGTAAATCAACCTCAATGTGAAATATGTGTAATGTGGTATTCTGGGAACACCAATCACTGAGTGTAAGAATCTGCACATTCAGGGTTTCTGAGCCTGCCCACTGTAGGCTCCTTGCTGTCTTCAGGAAAGCTGGAAGTGACAAAGTGCAAAGTAATCTAGCAAAATACTACAGCCCTTCAGAAGTCCTTAACTGGGCTTGATTACTCAGGCTACAATGGGTTTAATAAATGTTAGAATTAATCAAACCTATATTCAAAAAGTGAAGGGTTTTACAGGAAATATCTAGAAAGTTCAATTGTATATGTGCTCTGAAAAAGCCACATTTGGCCTTGATTTCCTGATAAGATGTTGCAATGTACTTCCTGTTATGCGTCATTGCCTACCGGCAGGGGTGCACTGACCATTTTGGAAACTCGGGCACTGCCCGAGGGCCCGGGGTCTGTAGGGGGCCCCATGAGATGCCTTTTTTCATAGGCTTTTTTGAGTTTGGGCATGGACACAGGGGCCCCATGATCCCCTATTGCCCGGGGGCCCCATGAGTTGTCAGTCTACCCCTGCCTACCGGTGTAAAACTGGCGGCCCTCCAGCTGTTACAGAACTACAAATCCCATGAGGCATTGCAACGTTGACAGTTACAAGCATGACTCCCACAGGCAGAGGCATGATGGGACTTGTGGTTCCTCAACAACTAGAGGTCCACCAGTTTGACACCCCAGGATCATCTGCTACATATTTTCAGTGTAGGATCACCTAAGCCTAAGGCATGTACCATCCACTTCTGCTATTGATGACTGATGGATTGTCTTCATGAACATTTTTTATCTTGATTTAACAATGTTTCTGGTATTAAAAGCCCCACACTGAGAACAATCAATGTACTAATGCTTTGAGAAGCTTAGAAAGTAAACAAAAATGCTATAACTATAAAAAATCAATACCATTTTGTGCCAGGCTGAGAATAATAAGGTGAACCAAGAAAAAAAGAGGGAAGCAGCTGCCCCTATGGGAACCAAGGAATTTTAAATGTGAAAATGTGACTCATGGAAGTTTAGCACTTCTGAGTCGTAACCAATTAATATCATATTAATATGAACAAAAAGAATATAGAATAATAAAAAAAATGAAACAAAGGTAAATTGAAAGCTTATATGCTTATTTATTTATTTTTATTTATTTTCAAATCATCATAATGACATCAGCAATTCTAAATATGTTACAATAATTGAGAGAAAAAATATATATTTAACATTTTATGAAAACATAATAAAAATGATTTTATTAAAGTTTAAAATCTGTAATTGGAGTGAGAAAATGAATCCATGGAAATAAGCAGTAGACTTAGATTGTAAATTCTAACAAGCAGATTGTAAATTTAGATTTTAGACTTAGATTGTAAGCTCTAACGAGCAGGGCCCTCTGATTTCTCTTGCACCAAATTGTATTGTAACTACAGTACGTCTGTTTTCATTTTTGTAAAGCGCTGTGCAAACTGTTGAAGCTATAAAAATCCAGTATAATAACAGTAATAGACTGCAGTGATGTAAGTTACTTGTAAAAGTAATTTGGGTAAGTTGCCCCGCAGCATGGCCCAAATTGAGAGCCTGTTTAGCAAGTTTTCCAATAAATTAACCAAATCCTAAAAGAGTGTTATTACTTACCAATATCAATGTGTACTCATTATACACTATGGGATCTATGCAGAAAAAAAATCTGCTGTGCAGATGTCTTAGGCTTTCATACAGGCACCACACATTATCACTTTTTTGTTTTTAATCGGATTATCTCCTATGATAGTTAGCTCTGTCAAGTGGCTATAATGTGGAATGTTTTCTGAAATATCTCAATATTAAAAAAAAATAACACATTATGGCCACTGGATGGAGCTGACAAAAGAAAACCTTTGTTTACACCTGACCATCATACTTGTATGAACTTCTTGGAGATTCCTTTCCAAATCATGTGCACTGTGCACAAAGCAGGTCCCTAAAGACAGAGTATGATAAATGCATTTGGTTTGGCCGAACCTAAGTGGTCTGCACAGTATCCTGACCTCAAACCTATTGAACACCTTAGGGATAAATTCAGATGCTGATTGCAAGCCAAGTATTCCCATTCCAACAACCTGACCTCACAAATGCTGTTTACCCTTTTCTGCAAGTTTATAGAAAGCCCCATATTAATGCTTATGCTTTTGGAATGGGATGCCCAAAAAGGGCAGAGGTCTAGAGGCTTTCATGCCTTAGTATTTCAAGGCTGTTTTGACAGCAATAGGGGCTGTTTTGGCAGCAAAAGTTGGACCTAATCAATATTAGGTGGATGATCACAAAGTTACGGTGTACTGTATATACGTTTGCTGCCTAACTGCATTACAGTAATAAAATCAGAGGGTTCAGTTGGGGAATTTAGTCTATTAATTCACACATTCTTCTATGGCTTATTCATAATCGCCCTAATAGTGATGATGAGGAAAATTATGTTTAACACACCGGGAGCATGCCGGTGATTGGGAAGGCTGGTATGTCACTATGTGTGCAAAACTATGAGTAATAACATACAGTTAGCTGATAGAGGGGAGATTTAAGTCCTATTCAGCTTTAGAGAAAGCAGAACAGTACTTTTTGATAAAACATTTTACTATAATTTACATTAAGTTGATTGTGTTTGTTATTACATATATTTTTAAGAAAAAATAACAGGTTACAGAAAACAGAAGGAATTTTTACCTTACTAATATCATGGTGACATGATTAGATAGGCATATTGTTACTGCAAATTATGGCATTGAGAAGTTCAAATACTAAGTATTGTGGCATTTAAATGTGCAGAGCCCATAGCCCTAATCATTTTGTTCAATGCTGAATTGTTATCTTTGAAAATTAGACTATTGTCTATAAGAATGAGGTAAAAGGGCACAATGGGTAATAGCAGCAAGCAGCTGCCCAGAGGCTAAATCTTTTCTTGTGGTTTGAAAACTGCCATCCTCAAACTCTGGCTGTAGGCAATGTAATCTGAACTTTAAAATTGTCTCTAGTGCAGTGAACAGGCCATTACCGGTTTCACATATTGGTATTTCAAAATACGTTCAAAGTTTGTATCCGGTATACCTCACCCTGATCTGATGTGTGAAACTGCATATACATATATGATCTTCTAAAACTATAAAAAATTGCAGGTTAATAGTGTGACAATTACTTGTTTTATATAAATGGTTAGGGAGTGTTAAAGGGTTCTTTAAAATGTAATTTAATGCCCTTTCCATGTAGACCTATATATATTTCTATAAGCTTGTGGAACGAACACTTATGATTAAAACTTTGTAAGATGGATGTTTTTATGAAATAAAGAATGTAAGTTTTGGAATAAAAGGATTTACATGGTTACATAGTAAGTCCACCCAGTTAAACCATTAAAAAAAAAATATTATTTTTATATATTAAAAAATATTATGATCCTATACCCACAGTTGATCCAGAGGAATACAAAAAAACCCCAGCAAAGCATGATCCAATTTGCCCCTGCAGGGATACAATTCCTTCCTGATCCCCCGAGAGGCAATCGGATATTCCCTGGATCTACTTTACCTATAAATGTTAGTATCCAGTTACATTCTGTGTATCTAAGAAACAATCCAGGCCTTTTTTAAAGCAATCTGCTGAGCTGGCCAGAACCAACTCTTGAGGGAGTCTATTCCACATTTTCACAGCTCTCACTGTGAAGAAACCTTTCTGTGTTTGGAGATTAAATCTCTTTTCCTCCAGACGTAAAGAGTGCCCCCGTGTCCTCTGTGATGACCTCAGGGTGAATAACTCTACACCGAGTTCACTATATAAACCACTAATGTATTTATACATGTTGATCATATCCCCCTTTAATCTTCTCAAGAGAGAATAAATTCAGTTCCTCTAATCTTTCCTCATAGCTGAGCTCCTCCATGCCTCTTATCAGTTTGGTTGCCCTTCTCTGTACTTTCTCCAGCTTTCCAATGTTATTTTTGTGAATTGGTGCCCAAAACTGAACTGCATATTCCAGATGAGGTCTTACTAATGATTTGTACCTGGGGTAATATGATATCTCTCTCTCTGGAGTCTATACCTCTTTTAATACAAGAGAGGATTTTTCTCATTTTAGAAACCGCAGCTTGACATTGCATGCCATTATTAAGCTTGTGATCTATCAGAATCCCTAGATCCTTCTCCACGATTGATTCCTCCAGTTGTACCCCCCCTAGTATGTATGATGCATGCATATTCTTAGCCCCCCAAGTGCATAATCTTACATTTATCAACATTAAACCTCATTTGCCACATAGTTTCCCAATTAAACAGTGCATTGAGGTCGGATTGTAAGTTGGAGACATTGCAGCAGCCTTGATTTTTTGAGATTTTTGCAGGTTAATAGTGTGTGTTTTTATATAAATGGTTAGGGATGGTTAGTGGGTACATTCAAATTTTATTTTAAGCTCATTTCCCACCTTCCCTCCCACCTTGCATGTATTGTGTGATCATTTTTTTGTATACTTACCTTTTTCTCAGATGTCTTCTGGTCAGACAACATGACATGCAAGGTCCTCTTCTCTCCAGCGGTGGCTGGTGTTTGATGATGAAAAGAGTAGCAGTAGTAGTGTTCAATAATGCAGAGAGTTGTGCTGTAATCTTCCTCTTCTTCTGTCCAGCAAAAGGTGGTGCTTAGTGATGCAGAAAGTGATAAAGATATCAGATCTGTTCTCTGCTCCATTGTACTGTGATTGCAGGTGTAGCACTACCCCCTTAGGAATTGCTTTTCCACACTGACTTGCATCCAAGAGTCAGTACGTAGTCCTTGAGCTTTTGGTTTGGATTTTATTTGGGGGATTTCAACTTGGATGGAGTAAGGGGTGTATGGGATGCCCAATGGAACTGAGAAATTGAGGACAACTTCCTGAACTATATACAGTGGTTACAGCAACAGTCTCTTTTTTGGAGAGCTAGCCATCTTCTTCTGTAGTACCACCTCAGACCCCAGAAAAATCCTCTTCTTCACCCAGCTGTCTAGAGGAATCCCTGAGCAGGGGATCTGGTGTCTGCCACATAGATAGTGAAACTGTCCTGGGTGGCAGGCTAATCCAGCTTCCCATTAGAGTGCCATCTTCCCCTATCTGGCCCATGGGGTGCAGGTCTACTCACTCAGTCCTTCTCCTGTGTGGCTGGGAAGTTTGTTGCTGCTACCAGGTTTTCTAGCTGGGCCACTCCTTCCCTGCTACACAGGTGGCCCTCGCTCTGGGGGCCGTGAAGGTCTGAGCTTTCCTCCTCCCAAGCTCCACTGCCTGTAGGTGAGCTTCTCTCAATCTAGGCCTTCTCCCAGGCTCCTCTCTTCAGCCTCACTCCATTTCTAGCTTTAACCCGAACTCTACTGCTGCTAAGTAGGCTTTCTCACTTTTAAGGGTTGTCCTGGACCCTTGCCAGCCTCCTGTTGGGGATTGGCTAGGATCTCTCAAAAGTGCAGATCAGCCGCTACTCAGATCCACCCATTGCTTCTGCTCTGCAGAGCCTCTCAGCTCTGACCATAATTTGACCCCTGCTACCTATTACACCCAGGCTGCTACTCTGCCCTCCTTGCTAACAATTTGAATCTAGCTCCCCCTAGCTGATTAGGAGGGCGCTACACAGTGTATCATGATAAAGCACCGCCATATGCTGGGTCCACCTTACCCTTTGTTCTAGGTAGGTTAAACGATTTCGGGTGGAAGAACCAGCACTGGAGCACAGAGCAATACATCTTTGAGGGGCAGCAATATGGAGAAAGTGAGTTGGGCACAAAGATTGTTCATCAGAACCTTCAAGAATAACATTCTTATGAAAGTCCTGCAAATTTTTATTCAGTTGCCATAACAGTGATGAGAATTTTCACATTCAATTTCAGGATGGACATGAGTTAATGTGATTCTGAACAGGAATCATTCATGGTTAGAATTTTATTTGATCAGATAAAAAGACATTACAACAATCTCAGGTGGATATAGCCCTGGAAAATGGAGGGGCCCCACATCCGAAAAACAATCAAGACATTCCAAAAAGCACAGTGCATGGACTTTTTAGGTGCCCCTAAGAGTAAAACACAAAACATTTGCTGTTAAAATATCAGGGAGCATAACTCCCAAACTATACTTTATTTACTGTATACAAAAAGTTTAAATCAACAAGTGAATATATCCAATATACTTATTTTTTTAGCAGAAAATATCACCATATCATATACTGTAGTTTAATCAGGTATTGCAGTATTGTCGAAGCATTAACTATTAACAAAATATAAAGTCCATTTCAGAGTTGGCTGTAATTCCTCAATATGTTTCACAGGGAACTATGCCTGCTTTTCCAGGAGCATAGTAGCTGCTGCTAAAGAAAAAAAAACAAATGACGAAGAAACATCAATATACAAGATATATGCAATATAACATATATGTGGTAAAACCAGATTCATAGATAGATATGGCTCCAAAGTGCTCACACTTTCTCAAACATTAAATAAAAAAGGCCCAAAAGGTCATCAAGAACCGCGAGGTGCAGGTGTCCTCTATGTGCGGATACAGGGGAGCACACACAAGGACCCCCACTAAGCCCATAAAAATCCTACAAAATAATTCAAACAGAATTCAGGAGTAACCCCAAACTATCATAACATCTTTCAAACAAAAAATGAAAGCAGATTTTTTTATATATGAATTAGTATTGGTGTCCACCTACCTAAATACAGCACACAATATGTCCCCAAAGATCTAGGAAGGGGAGAAAGAAGAGAAAGGAGCAGTTATATCATCAGATGCTCATTCAAATAAATGTAAAATAGGTACTACACACAGTGACCCTAAATATTCTTCAGGTGGATACCTCTTCAGCTTCTGTTCACACACTCGGCCTCTGGGCCTCCAGATCTTTCCTCACAGGTGATGGAATCACAACACTCCTCTAATACACAAACATATCAGCATGTCAGTAGAGCAGTAGACAGTTCCAGTAGAGCAGTGGACAGTGTCAATAGAGCACTGAATTGTGTCAGTAGAGCAGTGGACAGTGTCAGTAGGGCAGTGGATGGTGCATAGACAGTGTCAATCGGGCAGTGGCTTGTGTGGGGGGAGTGTTAGTAGGTCAGTGGATGGTGTCAGTAAGGCAGAAGTTGGTGTCAGTAGGGTAGAAGATGGTGTCAGTAGGGTAGATGAAGGTGTCAGTAGAGCAGTGGACATTGTCAGTAGGGAAATGAACAGTGCACTGACAGTGTCAATAGTGCAGTGGGCAGTGTGTAGAGAATGTCAGTAGGGCAGTGGATGGTGTCAGTAAGGCAGAAGTTAGTGTCAGTAGGGCAGAGGATGGCATCAGTAGCAGTAGTGTGATTATGTTTTCTGCTGCCCTAGGCAACACAAGAAATCTGCCAGTTGGGCAGTGGATGGTGTCAGTCAATAGAGAAGTGGACAGTGTCAGAAGGACAGTAGTCTTTGCCTGTAGGGCAGAGGTTGGTGTCAGTAGGGCCATGGATGCTGTCAGTGTGTTTTTTTATTTTTACTATTTTATTTCTTTAATTCTTTTTTACATTTTTACTTTTTTTTTTTTTTTTTTAACAGCCCTGTTGGGGGTCTTTGTTGAAATATAAGGGGTCTAAACAGATCCCGGAAGTCTCACTTTTGAGACAGAGAAAAGGACTGAGGACACAGATTTGTCAATCCCTTACTGAAGCATCAGCTGTACTCGAGAAAAAATGAATGGGAAGTGCTCTGTGCTGATTGGTTCCTGTTCATTCAAAAACTGAAGCATAGTAAACACAATGTGTTACTGTGGTGGGAAAAAAGGAAATAGCATAATCTATGGCCTGCCTTAGTGTAGCATTTGCATCACAATAGCCCAATTTAAAGTTGCTGCTTGGCAAAAAGAAAAGTAATTTAACCACTTGGTAACCACGCTATAGCCGAATGCCCAGCAGTGCCACTAGTCAGTGCCATCAGTCAGTGCCATCAGTCAGTGCTGCCCATCAGTGTCACCCATCAGTTCTGCCTATCAGTGCCCATCACTGCCACCTGTCAGTGATCATCATTGCTGCATATCAGCGCTGCATATCAGTGCCTCCTCATCAATGCCCACCAGTGAAACCTCATCAGTGCCACCTCAACAGTGCAGCCTATCATTGCCCATCAGTGCTGCCTATCCATGCCACCTCATCAGTGCCCATCAGTGCTGCCTATCAGTGCCCATCAGTGCTGCCTATCAGTGCAGCCTCATCAATGCACATCAGTGAAGGAGAAAAATTACCTGTTTGCAAAATTTTATAATAGAAACAAAGAAAACTTTTTTTTAGATTTTTTGCTCGTTTTTGTTTATAGTGCTAAAAATAAAACACCCCAGTGGCAATTAAATACCACCAAAAGAAAGCTCTATGTGGGTGAAAAAAATTCTAAAAATGTTATATGGGTACAATGTTGCATGACAGCGCAATTGTCATTCAAAGTGGACAGCGCTGAAAACTGAAAATTGGCCTGGGCATGAAGGTGGTATAAGTGCCTGGCAGGCAACTGGCATCAGGGTAACCTTCTGAATGTCTGAAAGTATCTGTTTAGGTGCATTCTTGAAAAGTGATCCACCATGGAGCACTTTTCAGAGCATAGGCTAGTGTGAATCTTGCTTTAAATCTCAAGTTATAAGATTTTTTTTTAGCTCCCTGTATATGTCTATTAATAGTTTCTTATAAATGTAAAAAAAAAAAGCATGAAATGTTTGAGGGAAGAAAAAGGTTTCATTAAAAATATATGACTTTAAATTGCATAATACATATTTATATTTACAAACAAATGTGTGTTCATAATTTATAAACTACTTAACAGATTGTTCTTTTGAGTGTTTTATTGCTCCGACTTCCTTTGAAACACAAACAAAAGCTGTAGAATCCAAAAAGGAACTCTGAAGAGGTTTCCCAGGCTGACAGCTAAGTCAATCAATATTTCCTTGGTCGCAATTACAGACCTAGATGCAAATTGAGAACAGAAGCGATGCTTGCAGTGGTGGCATCTGGCTCCACAGCAAGCTCCAAAAACATTCTGTTAGTGACTGTGCAGGTGCTTCGAGCTCCAACATATGTCCAAGCTGTTAATTTCATGAGTGGTCTGTCGTTGGCTCTCAGATGTCACAGTGAGAAATTATTCCACTTCCATCTACTTAAAATCATTTTAGTATACTGTACAAGCCTATATCCACTTTCATTTGTGAAAACTGTATAATCCACTAAAAGGGGAACATCAGGCATGCATATGTTTTTTTACCTGCCAAAGGATTTGTAAAAAATAATAATAATAATAATAATGCACTTAATTTTATATAGCGTCTTTAACTGCTTCCCGACTGCCCTATTGCAGAACTACTGCTACAGGGAACTGGGCTGTGTGAAATCACGTAGATATACGTTATTTTGCATTTCAGGGTAGGGGGTGTGGGTGCGCCACCCTACCCATGCCGCCATTGGCGGCTACAGGTGTCGATCACCGGGTCCCGGCCGGAGATTCCCTGCCAGCACCAGCGATCGCTTTGGGACACTGACAGGGGAGAAGTTTGTATGTAAACAATACAGATCTCTCCCCTGTGAGCACCAGCATGCTGCTTCCTATTGCTCTACATAGCAGCATGCTTAAATATAGAGATGAGCGAATTATTCAAAAATTCGATTCGGCTGATTCGCCGAATTTGCGGAATAAATTCGATTCGATGCGAATTTATTTGCTGCGAATTTAACTTATTAAAAGGGTTTCTAGGCTTCAGAGAGCCTTTATATTAGTGCAGAACACTGTACCTTTAATTTAAATGCCCTTGGAGTCTGCTGGGGAAGAGAAATAATACTGTCAGTCAGTATGACATGCAGATGAGTGCCGTCGATCTTAGAATCACCGGACACCTCACTCATTTGGGCAGTCACGGGGCCAAAACCAGAGTGTGGAGCCACAGTGTGGTGGTGGAGGCAGCAGCAATGGGAGGCCATACAGCACCCTATGACAAAATGGAACCCACCAGCAGTGTGAGGAGACCTGAAAGTGGCACATGGCAGAGTGTGGCGATGGAGACAGCAGCAATGGGAGGCCGTACAGGGACCCATGACACACTCTGGACCTGGCAGCAGCATGAGGAGGCGGTACAGGGGCCCATGGCAGAGTGGCGAAGTGTAAGCAGCTTAAATTGAAGGCCATACAGAGGCCTATGTTAAAAAGTCCCCCCAGCAGCAGTGTGGGGAGACGACTATCAAGAGTCCAATGGCAGAGTGGCGGAGCAGAAGCAGCTTCAATTGAAGAAGAAGAGGATGAGGATGAAGAAGAAGAAGAAGAAGAAGAGGATGAGGATGAAGAAGAAGATGAGGATGAAGAAGAAGAAGAAGAGGATGAGAATGAAGAAGAAGAAGAAGAAGAGGATGAGGATGAGGAGGAAGAAGAAGAAGAAGAAGAAGAAGAAGAAGAAGAAGAAGAAGAAGAAGAAGAAGAGGAGGATGAGGATGAAGAAGAAGAAGAAGAAGAAGAGGATGAGGATGAAGAAGAAGAAGAAGAAGAAGATGAGGATGAGGATGATGAAAGAAGAAGAAGAAGAAGAAGAAGAGGATGAGGATGAGGAAGAAGAAGAAGAAGAGGATGAGGATGAGGATGAAGAAGAAGAAGAAGAAGAGGATGAGGAAGAAGAAGAAGAGGATGAGGATGAAGAAGAAGAAGAAGAGGATGAGGATGAAGAAGAAGAAGAAGAAGAAGAAGAAGAGGATGAGGATGAAGAAGAAGAAGAAGAAGAAGAAGAAGAAGAAGAAGAAGAAGAAGATGAGGATGAAGAAGAAGAAGAGGATGAGGATGATGAAGAAGAAGAAGAAGAAGAAGAAGAGGATGAGGAGGAAGAAGAAGAAGAGGATGAGGATGAAGAAGAAGAAGAAGAAGAAGAAGATGAGGATGAAGAAGAAGAAGAAGAAGAGGATGAAGAAGAAGAAGAAGAAGAGGATGAGGATGAGGATGAAGAAGAAGAAGAAGAGGATGATGAAGAAGAAGAGGATGAGGATGAGGAAGAAGAAGAAGAAGAGGATGAGGATGAAGAAGAAGAAGAAGAAGAAGAAGAAGAAGATGAGGAAGAAGAAGAAGAGGATGAGGATGGGATGAAGAAGAAGAAGAAGAGGATGAGGATGAGGAAGAAGAAGAAGAAGAAGAAGAGGAGGATGAGGATGAAGAAGAAGAAGAGGATGAGGATGAGGATGATGAAGAAGAAGAAGAGGATGAGGATGAAGAAGAAGAAGAAGAAGAAGAAGAAGAAGAAGAGGATGAAGATGAAGAAGAAGAAGAAGAGGATGAGGATGAAGAAGAAGAAGAAGAAGAAGAGGATGAGGATGAGAAGAAGAAGAAGATGAGGATGAAGAAGAAGAAGAAGAAGAAGAGGATGAGGATGAGGATGAAGAAGAGGATGAGGATGAAGAAGAAGAAGAAGAAGAGGATGATGGTGAGGAAGAAGAAGAAGAAGAGGATGATGATGATGATGAAGAAGAAGAAGAAGAAGAGGATGAGGATGAAAGAAGAAGAAGAAGAGGATGGATGAATGAAGAAGAAGAGGATGAGGATGAAGAAGAAGAGAATGAGGATGAAGAAGAGGATGAGGATGAAAAAGAGAATGAGGATGAAGAAGAGGTCAGAATATGAGGATGAAGAAGAAGAAGAAGAAGAAGAAGAGGATGAGGATGAAGAAGAAGAAGAAGAAGAAGAAGAAGAGGATGAGGATGAAGAAGAAGAAGAAGAAGAAGAAGAAGAAGTAGGATGAAAATAAGAAGAATTCCATTCCAGCAAAAAGTGTATCTGCAGAGAGCTCCGCTATTTCTGACTGTTCTCTGACAGTTCCTTCACATTTACAGCGGTTGAAACATTGTATCTATTTGTTTCCGAATAAAAACATCTGTATCCTAAATGGAAACAAATAGATACAATGTTTCAACCGCTGTAAATGTGAAGGAACTGTCAGAGAACTGTCAGAAATAGCAGAGCTCTCTGCAGGGACACTTTTTGCCGGCTGTAGAAGGGATGAAAATCGGCCGATGGGGAAAATTTGATTCGTGCATCCGAAGTTTGCTAATTTTCGGATTCGGCGCGAATCGAATTTTTCCTAATATTCGAAACGAATTCCACTTCGCCAAGTTCGATCGCTCATCTCTACTTAAATACTAATACACTGCACACAATGTGAAACACATACAACACACAGTTAACTCTTTGATCGCCCTGGATGTTAACCCCTTCCTGCCCAGTGTCATTAGTACAGTGTCAGTGCTTTTTATTCTCAGTGGCAGTTAGTCAGTTCCCGCCCCGTGTCAGAATGCCCACCGCAGTCCCGTAGTCCCGCAGTCCTGCTGTAAGTCTCTGATCACCACCATTACTAGTATAAAAAAAAAATTCCAGTATATATATATCACCATTTGTAGATGCTATAACTTTCATGTAAACCAATTCATTTACACGTATTAGGATTTTTTTTTAGCAAAAACTGTAGCAGAATACATTTTGGCTTAAATCTTTGATGAAATTTGATTTTTTTTTACTAATATGTTTTATAGCAAAAAGTCAAAAATGTTGTTTTTTTTAAAAAATTGTCGATCTTTTTTTTGTTTATGGCGCAAAATATCAAAAATGCACAGGCGATCAAATACCACCGAAAGAAAGCTCCATTTGTGGGAAAAAAAAGATATTACTTTCATTTGGGGGCAGTGTTGCATAACCACACAATTGTCAGTTAAAGTAACACAGTGCCGTATTGCAAAAAATTGCCTGGTCAGGAAGGGGGGTAAATCCTCTGGAGGGCAAGTAGTTAAGCTTTGCCAATAAACCTAGGAGCTGATTGGTTACTATGCAGAGCTGCACCAGGTTCTTTGTGCACCAGTTTTAGTAAATCCCCCGCTATGTGTTGTTGTTAGAGAAAGTTAACAGTTCTTAAAGCGGAGCTCCACCCAAAAGGGGAAGTTCCATTTTAAGGACTGCTCCCCCGCTCCCCATTAAGGATTGGGACATTTGGGGAGCAGGGGGGGAGCGGGTACCCCGAATTTGACAGGTACCCGCTCCCACTTCCGGTCCGATCACCTAGGCGATCGAAAACGGAAGGTGTCCTTCCTCCCTCCCTACCACCCTGTAGTCTTTTGGGACACATGACAGGTCCCAGAAGACTACAGGACCATTCACGAAGCGCAGCGCTACTTGCGCATGTGCAGTGGGTACCCGGCTGCGAAGCCACAAGCTACCACAGTCGGGTGCCCACAGTGAAGATGCCAGCCTCCTGGAATATAGGACGGCTGGTGAAACGAGCTGCGGGGGACACACCATGGGACCAAGGGACAGGTAAGTGGCTGTTTTTTAAAAGTCGGTAGCTACAGTTTTTGTAGCTGCCAACTCTTATTTTTTGATAGGTCAAGTGGAACTTTGCTTTAATAGGGACCTATAATGGTTGACTTACCAAACACAAAAAAGGATGTTTCCCTTTCAGGGGAAGTTGCACTTTGCAAGGGAATTTCCCCAGAGCATAGAGAATGAGGTGAAGCTGTGCTGACTTCCATCATTCAATCATGTGCGAGCAAAAAAGCATGATTGGTAATTCATCACATTTACTAAACTCTGGGGATATTTACTTACAAAGTGAATATTCCCTTGCAAACTGAACAGTCTACTTGCTATTCGTAAATCATTCCCATTGCAAGCTATACTGTTAATTTTGGAATTTGACCATGTCCTTTGTCGCAGTGCCTGGCTTCCCATGCCTTAGTGTCACAACAGCTTGCTACAAATGGCCAGAATGTAATACCAAGATTGACTCCTTACCATTACCCTATAGATGTCAATGGGATCTTCCACAAAATTTTTGAGCTTTAAAGAAGATTGGCAAACCAAATCCAGGTAGATTCAACCATCCGTATTGGTGCCAGAGGAAGCTGTACTGCTGGGAAATTTGTGTCACCTGTCACCTTGGGAATTGATTAAACTACCATTATAAGAAATAACAACTAAAGGAAATTACAAAGCCGGAATCTGGAGCAGCTGTCAAAACTATTTTTTTCTCAATGCAAGGTAATAAAAATCCCACTACTTTTTTTTGTCCCATTCTTAAACACATGCTGGCCATACATGTATAGATTTTTGTTTGAGAATTTTAATTTTAAGGAATTCATTTGATTTTCTTATTGTTAGTGGGGTCAAACTGATGTTCGTTTTTGACCGCAGTGATGGGAAAATTCGAAGGGACAAGAAGGAAAACTTTTCTTGATCTAAAGAATTTTCGGACAGTGTATGTGGTTATCATTTGGAAATTATATTCATTTTAAAATTGAATGTTAAAAAAACAACATACAATTTTCGAACAACATTTGTCCATTCATGGAATGTGCAAAGATTTTTCATACGACTTTTGCAAATATTCTCATCCAAAACTGTACTGTGTATGTGCTCTCAGACACTGTGCTGGATAAAGATCGGGCTTAGGTAAATATTTAGGGGGGGGGGGGGCTGGGGAGGCAAACTGATCAGATAAGGTTGTTACCTTCATGTAGAGAATGCATTAAGGTAAAAAGAAAACGTTCTTACTTTACAGGCACTTTAAATCTAATAAAAAAAAAAAAATTCTCAGTTCTATATTGACAACAGTTGTCCAGAGGGTATTGCCTCATTATTCTCTGGGGCAACAAAAAAAAGTCAGTAGATTGGTTATGGTTAGCACAAATGTGATTGCCAAATTAGATTTATCTGGGTCAAACCTAAAAACGATTCACTTATCTCTACACAATGGAGATATGCATATCCATTCCCTGAAAACTGTATCACAAAATAATATTGGTGCTGACTTTCAATTATTTACTCATCTTCATTGGATAGGCATTGCCTGCCTTTTAATCCCAGCACTTCCCACTTGTACAAGGAGCCTAAGAGTGTATTTTATAGCCTGTATTAAAGACTGTGTGTGAAGAGTAACAAGCACACATTCTATAAAATCATAAAATGAGAAGTTAGGCATGACTGCCTCTCTCAGCTCCATCACCACCACATGCTCCGTCTTTTCTATCAGAAATAAAATTACACACTATAAAAGTATCTAAAGCACATCTCATCTACACCCTATCACAGACTATGTTGAGGAGAAAAATACAATACTGTATGTACTTTCTCAGCCCAGAAGATGAAATTGAACTTAGTGATATGATACGCATAGGGCTTACAAAGCAATGCAAAGACTCAAGATTTATCCTCAGCATCTGTTTTATACCGTCTATCTTTTCCTTAAAAAAAAGTTATATAGAGAGCCAAATGACTGTACAAAAGTCACATCACACCTTAGGATAGATCCATAGAGTGTTTAGAAATTTCAAATAATTATAACAGTTTTTACCTTTTATATTACATTGTGGTGCATTGGTATAAATATTACAGAATAATTTTCTTCTTCTAGGTCTATTAGAGCTCTTTATGACATCCTTAGAGGGTGATATTATTGCAGGCTTGGCTTAAACAGCTATGGTGCAAAAATATATTAAAGCAGAACTCCAGTTAGAATTTTTTTTGTTGGATCGGCTGCTCGTTTTTTCTAGGAGTGAGGACTAAGCTCATACTCACCTGACCCACCGATCCTATGGAAAACTACGTTCCCCCATGTTCCAGCGGTGGACTGTTCCTATCTGTAGAGTGTACATTGAGCATTTTGACATTAGGAACAGCCCATTTACAATTCCACTGGACCGTGGGGGGGCAGAAGTCAGGTGAGTATATCTTCGGTGTCCTCTCCCCTGGAACAAAACGAGCACTTGACCCTTGCAGTGCCTGCCCAGCCCCACTGCGCAGGCCAAAAAACATTTTTTCCCAGATTTCTGCTTTAAGGAAATGGGGAAGACAAAGGAAGTACAGTACGTAGGTGCAATGAAGAGAGAGAATATCAGCTCTTTTAGCAAATACATTCCCTCGTGCTTAAAACTATGATTCCATACTAGTATAACAAAAGGAAGATAAATTCTCATCCCTTTTTTCAGGATCAATATACAGTACTATTAGAAATGTTGGTTGCTAAAAGGGGCCTTATCTCAAAGATATATCTAGCCCTATGGGAAGCTATCTAGATGCCTTTGTTATCCTTAGTAGAAAATTATGGGAAAAGGATCTGGAACCACTGCTAAAAAGAGTCTTGGCAGTGTATCCTGGAACAGTTTGGAATGATATCTTTATCTCCCACAGAGAGGCTATCCCAGCTTTTTGTTATCTATAGAACATATTATATGCCATTGAAATTATTTAAATGGGGTCGGAGGGAATGCCCTGTTTGTATGAGATGCCAAGGGGATCTGGCAGAATTTATACACATGGTTTGGCGGTGCCCAAAATGATTCGGGTATTAGCAGGCTATTAAAAATACTATTATAGAGATTCAGGACCCCTGGGTGTGTATCCTAGGGAAAGTTCTGTAGATGGCGAATTGTATATGAGATAAGGGTGCCAATAGTCAGGATTTTGCTTCTTGCTCCATATCCACCTATGTAAGAGTACTGGCAAGCCCATGTCAATTTGACCCTTCTTAAGGAGAATTTGATATACCAACATAAGGATTGACTCTCTGTCTGTGATCTGGCAACTGCCTCTCTGTTGATGGTAAAAATGATAAGGTGTTAATGTCTCCCTGACCACTATCAGCTAAGTTGGTGAGTAGTAACAAGGATTAGTGATGGGAAGGACTGGGAAAAAAACAGACACAATTGGGGAAAAAAAAACTGTTTTTGTTTTTTCAAAGCTGTTTTATGTTTTTTTTTTTAGAAAAATTAGGAAAAAAGGAGTGTAGAATATGTTCTTTTACAATAATAGGTATTATATCTACTGTATGACATGGTATTCAAAATATATAATATGAAGGCCTTATTGAAAGATTTCTGAGACT